ATATATTGCCCCCTCCTAGGACTGCACTGCCTGACCAAGGTAGATGGAATGCTGCCCTCAACTTGATCATGCTTTAAGCAGCTTCTCAGCCCAGACCTCCCATCTCTCGGAGAATTTGCTTTAGGAAACTTCTAACTGCAAAGTCTTTCTCTGCTCCATTCAGGTGTAAATCTCCCAGCTTCTTGCCAGTCCTACAACCCAGGAGTACTCGCTCAAGGACCCAGAAGCCATGTGCTGGATGTGCCATCACCCAGAAAGAAGGAGCCCAGCTGTTTTCCTCTATAGGAAGTGCGAGTCTGTGCAGTTGGCAGGCACAAAGGGCCCATCACAGCGACCTGCTTCCCTGTCACCCCTGCAGTGCTTATGTATGACCTTAGGCCATGCTTTAAAGCTCCCCTGCCTTCTGTTTCAAAGGACTTAATTCAGTCTCCTCTACTGCACTCTTCAATAAAGCCTTCCTCTCCTACTTACCTTGTTCCATGTAATTTTTCTCTCACACACCTCCCAAGCCCCTGTATCTAATCTGCCCTCTTCACCAAGCTGGACAGGGACCAGCAGGTAGGGGGAGCAGCATGTGGGAGATGCAGCCTTAGACCATGTAGTTCTCATTCTGTATCTGCACCTCAGAGACCCCGTGGCTTCACCTTACACTTCTGTGTGAATGATTTCTAAACCTATAGCTCTTGCCCCTTCCATATCTCCTTCATTTATTCCAGAGTTGTTCTTAGACATTAACGAAGATTCACTAATTTTCTCTTGCTTAAACACATTCCATTTCCATGTATGAAGTTCCTTTGTAAATGTGATAATTGTGATACAAAAAATAGAGAAAGATATATAAAATATATATACAAATAGAATTAAAACAATTTCCTAACTCATATATAGAAGAAATTTCTTGAAAAGACGCCAGTAATGCCCTCTGTTTCTTCAATGTTGCTGATCTTACACACTGTTCCTAGCTTAAGAGCCTGGTCTCAGTTTCAGATGTCTCCTTGCTGAAGCCTCTGTGACTGCTTTTTTAAAATTCACCTTTACCGGGTGATTCTTATAATCACTAAATATCAAAAGTTATGCTGACACTAAAAAATACAGTATCCTCTTCTTAAAAAAAAAAACTTTATCACAAAACAAAAAAATAGAAGTTTATATTATATTTTGACAAAGTTAGGGTTAATATGGGCTGGGGGCACAGCTCAGTGGCAGAGCACTTGTGGTCCTGGGTTGGATCCCCAGCACTTCAAAAAAATTAGAGGTAAAAATTCTCAACAAAAGAAAGCATGGATAACTGATGCTACATCTCAACATCTTAACAAACTAGTATTCTAAAGGTTTAAAAATGAATACTACAAGAACTATATTCTGCAAATCACTATTTTAAAATGATTATATTACTTAAGAGGACCTGAAAGGTCACAATTTTTAATGGATGCAATGGCTCATTCTGATATACATCAGACAATTCAATAACATTTATTTTGGGTTAAGGTCTAAGGCAGTTTCCTTTATAAGCTGGTTACTTAAGCTATAAAAAGCACTGGTGTGTTTGAGAACCAGACTCCATACAGCTCCTCACAAGCAAGAAGCTTACTGAAATGTGTCCCAGTTAGTTCCAGTAGATGAAAGAGATACACCACACCAGCCCTGCTTCCTCAGGGATCGTCTCAGACGGCCTCCCTCCCACACCCTCTGCTCACTCTCACGCCAGTGTGAACACCACACAAATACCAACTTGTCTCTGAATTAATTCAACACCAAACCAACACTGACTGACCATATGAAAAATCCTTGTGGATTTGTGTCAAATTTTAATGCCAAGAACCATATCTTCCAATTGAGACCCACAGGTTCCAATAATTCTGCATGGAAAATACATTTGCAGTAACTAAATATGGGGAGTTTTATCCTTTGTCCATAGTTCTAGAAGGGAGCAATAAATTTCCAAACAATTTGGTTTAATGATACTTTTGTAACAAACTACTACATTTATTGGAATTCACTAATGAGTTCTCTTTTAAATATTATTACCTTAAGTCTTACCTCATTGTTAAAAGCAAGCTGAACAGGAATTTTTAAAACATCATTTATAATTTCTCCATCATTTTCAACATAATACACAATTATACAGGCCTTTGGAGCCCAAGAATTTTCTGGTGTTAAAGAGAAGGTTGTTGAAGTTTGTTTGCCTACAGCCACCAATTGTCCCCTGGATACTACCTGAAAAAAAAAAATAGATGAGTTTAAGTTTTGGTTCTTTTGGGGGGTGCGGGAGTACCAGGAATCAAACTCAGGACCTTGAACTTGCCAGGCAGGTGCGGTACCACTAAGCTACATGCCCAGCCCTATGAGTTCAAGTTTTTGCTAAAGTTATTTAGATTACATTTATCATACTTTTTTATTAGTACATGCTTGCAGTACATAATAATTACATTCATCCTGGGGAGCTGATATGTGTACATTACACATCTTAATTATTTTTATGTTCCCTTCCACTTCTACATTTATCATACTTTTAACTATACCTAAATTCTCACCCTAAATCAGGTTCAATGCCTTTTTGAATACAAGAAAACCAACATGACAAACAGGGAGTATAAACTAGAAAGTAGAAAATGGTCAGAGTAAAGTGGTACTGATTGGAGTAACAGTAGCTTCATAGTAATGAAATTGTTTTTAATTCAGTTTTAAATTCTTTTTTGCATTTTTAGTTTTTAATGAACACATAATATTTGTGCATATTATGGGTTACAATGTGATATTTCAATACATGTATACAACATGTAATGATCATACTAAGGTACTGGCAACTTAAAGTGCAACTTAAAGGAGGAGAGGGTTATTTTGGCTCATGGTTTGAGAGGATTCATATGGTTGGCTGGCTCTAAAACAGAAATGGTATGGTGGGGGAAAGCTGTTAAAGCATGGCAGCTAAAAATCAGACAGAAGGGAAAGAACTAAGGACAAGACTACAAACGCTCTGCCAGGTCACGCCCCAGGCGACAGCCTCCAACCAACCTCCACCTCCTAAAACATGAGAATTAGGGACATTTTAAACATCTCAGACTTAACCATAACATCGCCATAAGTAATATTCATTACTTCTTTCTGCTGAGAAAGGTTCTTTGTTTGGTCGGGAGGAATATAGGACTCCACTGGGACAGCTGGATTGGCAAAATTACAAGGCCATGGTGGCAATTTTATTTTCTCCTCATATTTTCTAATTTTCCACATAATGGGTGTGTGTTGCTTATTTAATGGAAATTTAAATTTTAAACATAAGGCAAAATTTACCGATTTTTAAATGGAAATGCAAATACAAGTGAAGAAAAAAGATTTTTTTTTGGTACCGGGGATCAAACTCAGGACCTTGCGCTTGCAAGGCAGGCAGCGGAACCACTGAGCTAAATCCCCAGCCTCCAAAACAGATATTTTGATTCAATATAAAAAAGATAAGCTAGGGCCGGTGGTTCTGCCACCTGCTTTGCAAGTCCAAGGTCCTGAGTTAGATCCTGGGTACCAAAAAAAAAGATAGGCTAATATTTAAAAAGTAAATTTAACATTCATAAGTTAGACATCATTTAAGATGATTCTGTAATACAGCAAAATTTTAAATTCTAGAAGAGATTACCATATAGCTAAACTCCTTCAATTGCTTGTTGCCACTAACCACCAACTCAAAAGGTGATCCAACCTAGAAAAAACAACAAATCTTAATTAATATGACCATATCAATGGCAAGAGAGTCCAATTACATTGCAATTTCAAGTGAGTGTTAAGAATTACCTTTATATTTTCATATCTTGTCTTTAACTGGATGTATGTCTTACTAGGGGATATAAATGTGCCATGAACTTCCATGTTACTTTCACTGTTAAGAAAATGAGCCTATGACAAAAGGAAAAGAACTATAAATTTTCATCTTCAACTTTGAGGAAAGACCTGATGAACAATTACTGAAAGCCAAATTCACTTTTTTTCCATGCAGGAGATTACATTTGCCCAATGATGGTTCTTCATCATTTTATACCTCATACTATAAGGAATCTAGTAGTTTAAAAACATGAGAAAGGGTCTTCGCCATCATGACCTAGAGGAAAAAAGCACTGCCCCAACTTACTTCAGAAACAAAGGTATTTTATCAAGAAACACTTTGGGCTGAGAGAATAAATGGAAAAGCAGTGCTTTCCTTCCCTCCATAATATGCAGTTCAAATAAAAGCAAGAAATCAAACCCCTTACACTGGATTTACCAAGATTCAGAGTAAAAACCAAGTTGGACACAGGTCTGTAGGCCCATAGTTCAAGCTACTCAAGAGGCAAAGCAGGATAATCACAAGTTCAACCTAGCCTGAGCAACTCAGTGACATAGTTACACCCTGTCTCAAAATAAAACAATGGAAAAAATTAAATTTAAAATCTGGGGTTGTAGCTCAGTGTCAGAGCACTTGCTTAGCATATACAAGGCCCTGGGTTCAAAACTAGAAATCAGGGCTGGAGATTTAGCTCAGTGGCGCCATGCCTGCTTGACAAGCACAAAGTCCTGAGTTCAAGTTCCGGTACCAGGGAAAAAAACAAAAAGAAATCAGAGGCTCCATCTGTACAAAACATGCTCAGGCAGCCCCTGTCTAGGGCAAGGCTGAATGTTCAAAAGATAGGAACCATAAAAGGTTAAGATTCTCAGATGAGCCACTCTAGGAAAGGCAGCTCAGCAATGGTATATACATGTAAAAAATATAAATTCCTCTTGCATTTCAGCTCTAGTCAGAATAAAATGGCAGATGACTGGAAAATCAACCTAGATGAGGGGTTCAGGAGCTTCTCCACTATACCTTCACATTGCAATATTTTACTGTGCTCTTCCAAATGAACGTACAAGGGAGCATTCAGGCCACTGACATTACATTACTTCTAATGTTTTCTCCCATTTTTAAAAATAAAAATACAAGTCTATTTCCTACACACTGAATTCTGAAGGCAGGGTGCCTAGCACAAGATTACAACTGCAGGGGTGGTGTGGCCAGAATGCAACATGCGTAACAGCTGGCACCTTCACTTGTAGCTGGCTGGAACTGTCCAGGATTGGAAACTCAATCTTAAAGATTCCATCTGGGGGGACAGTGTAATTTGTGATGTGCGCAGCTTCCATTTCCTGATTTCCACTATTCCACCTGCTCCAGAGATAGATCCTGTTTCTCTGTGTCACTGCTATGACTACATTATTCCTTCTTTCTTCTTGAGTCAGTTGACTGCCATCAGAACGGGTCACCTTCACCTAATTGCCAAAACAGGACATTTTAAAAACAAGTAACAAGTAATGGATTTAAGCACAACTGAATCCAGTTTCCCTCTGCACTACTCCCATGAGACCAAACTCTCAACCATTACTGGCAGCATTCTAACCTTCACATTCAGTGGTCCTTCTCCAGGAGCCACCAGGGCCTTGATCACTGCCTTCTTAAAAGCATGGTTTCCTTGCTTCCACGGCCCATCACAACATCGCCCACTTACACTTCCCTTCTACACCTTCTCACTGTCCTTTTTTTTCCCCCATTAATTTTATTGGTGCATTTTAGGTATAAAATACAGTTACATTCATCACTGGGATCTTGTACCTTTACATGAGTCTCTTGGTTCTTATTTTTTTCCCCTTCCCTTGCCCTCCCTTCA